GGCGGGATACACACAATGAACAATTTCCTTATTTGGGAGCTCTCGGCTTTTACCAGTATTTTGATTTTACAAATAATGTTGCACTCAACATTTCATAAATTATTTCTCTAGTCTAGACTCCTATAAGTGGAAATCTTGGATTAAATGGATTGAAGTTCTTGGTTCATCCCATCAAAATCAATTTCCCAGAAAGTTGTAGAGATTCCATTTCCACCCAAAATGTATGAATATACTCATCTCATCCCTCATCACCATTAAGTATGGTCCTTTAAAAATCTTTGTCAGGGAGGATGGGTTAGCCTGGTGATAGGTATTAAAGAGGGTACGTTCTGCATGGAGCACTGGGTGTTATATGCAAACAATGAATCATGGAACACTACATCACAAACTAATGATGTATTGTATGGTGATTAACATAACAATAAAAAATCTTTGTCAATTTGATGAGCATCATGGTAATGCATTATTGGTTCTGTTTACAGTTCCTTAATTACTAATTAAGTTGAATTTTTTCATGTTTTTTGGCTGGTTAGATTTCCTCGTTATGCACTGTTTTTCATAAATTTTGCCCACTTACCTATTTAGAAACTATTTTTCTCCTTCATTTGCACACTCTTTGTTAAGTTTATTGTCTTCAATCCGGCTGTCGTAACAAAGTACCATAGACTGGGTGACTTAAGAACAACAGAAATTGACTTCTCACATTTCTGGAGGCCACAAGTCTGAGACCAGGGTACCAGCATGGTCAGGTTCTGGTGAAAACCCTCTTCGGGGTTGCACACTGCTGACTTCTCAGTGTGCCCTCACAACAGGCTAGCTCGCCAGCCTTCTTCTTAGAAGGCACTCATCCTATTGCGGGGGCTCCACCCTTAGGACCTAATTACCTCCGAAAGTCTCCATCTCCAAATACCACCACACTTGGGGATTGGATTTCAACATGAATTTTTGGGGAATGCGACCATTCAGTCCCTAACACTTATGAACTCTCACATGTCAGTTTTGCCCGATCCCCCCAAATACTATGAAGGCAACTCAGGGCTATGAGAATTCTGCCTGTTCTCACTGCTCCGCCCCCCGAGTGGGAGCCTGCATGCCAGTACCGTGATGTGCAGGAACTCAGGCGCATAGAACAGGAGTTAGACTCAGCATCTTGTCTCTCCCTTCTGAGGCCAACAAGACATCGTGTCTCCTTCCTACAACGGCCCTTGCTGTCACTCAGTTCCTGCCTACTCCAACTTCCACTCTGTTTGCTCTTCAGCTCATTAATCCCTATTTTACAGCAGTCTTCCTCATTAAGATGTGGATTTTCTTTTTCCACCGTGAGGGTCTTGTTTCTATGGTGATACAAGAGGAAGTCTGTGCAGAGGTGTTGCAACTGGAAGCTTTCACTTACTTTGAGAGGTAGTTAAAGTTGATTGAGGTAGAGGGTCAGTGGAGACCGTGCAAATGCCTGGCAGAGGTCAAACCTTGGCAGCAAAGGCAGGAGGAAAGCATCAAGAACTCCTTTCTTGTTGTTGTGATGACCTCACGTAGGCATGAAATGTTTCACACCCGTCTAACATTAACTTTAGGTATTCAGTGATGTTTTTCATGTATTGCCTTAGACGTTTGGTCTGAGACAAGTTTTTAAACAACTCTCGAAACTTTTTCAAACCACTTTATTAAACAAAGAGGGTATTATATGGCAGCCACAGGATGATAAAGGATTACTGGGAGCTTTCTCTTTATAAATGAAAGAGGATTTAAACAATTTTTTATGTGAAAGATAAACAAATAATAGAAAGAGAGAAGTTCAGCAACATAATTCATAAAAATGGTTCTACCACAAAGTTTAATCCTCTCCTTTTTGTTTACCCCTGCATACCATAAAACAGTGTTAAAGTGTAATTAAAAAAAAATAATACCATGACTCTCATACAAATAAAAAAATGAACAGATGTCAAAATCTGATTTGACTCCTTAATTAATGAAAGAACTAATAAGATGTTAAGACTAATGCCCCACATCAGGCTCCTGGCTCAGCAGGGAGCCTGCTTCTCCCTCTCCCTCTGCTTCTCTCCCTGCTTATGCTCTTTCTCTCTCTCTCTCTCTGTATCTCTGTGTCTCAAGTGAATAAATAAAATCTTAAAAAAAAAAAGACTAATGCAAAGAACATTCGAGAAGCTAGGTTTTGATGGGGAATGTTAGAATAAGATTTGGGGGTTAGACACAAAACTGCTTAACGTCCGACGAGACAATAAACCATAAGCTTTGGGATCGTCTGTTCTAATAGACAGGATTATTTGCATCTCTAACAGACAAAAACCTACACATTAACCTTTGCTCAGAGATGACAGAAAGTCAAGCCCAACACTGCACTGAAAATATTCTGCCAGCTCTTCTGCCTATTTCCAAGTTTCTTTTTTTAAGATTTTATTTATTTATTTGAAAGAGAGAGAGAATGAGAGAGAGAGAGCACGAGAGGGGTGAGCAGACTCCCTGTTGAGCAAGGAGCCGATGCGGGGCTCCATCCTGAGACTCCAGGACCATGACCTGAGCCGAAGGCAGTCGCTCAACCAACTGAGCCACCCAGGCACCCCTACCTCCGAGTTTCAAATGATTTTTTGACATGGGACGAAAACAGCTTTGTAAGGGAAGGGGTAGTACGGGTGGCCCTGGAAACAAGGAAGCCAAGAACGCAGCAAAAAGTTCTGGGAGCCACAAACTCTTCCTCCCGACTCAGGAAGAGGAGTGACTGCCAGCAGCCCCCCAAACCAGGAGTGAGCTAGGAATTACCGAACTGGCATCACTTGGCCTCCCCACCTGCCCCAACCCCCAAAGGTGGAGTGAATATAGGCACTCACAGGGAGAAGCCATCCTTCCTCTCCTCAGACCCCGGGGGGGAAATAGCTGCACAGAACATCTGCTCCAGGCAAGGAGCCCATAGCCCCCGGCAGAGTCCCAAACACAAAATAACATGAAAAGGACCTGTCATGGGTGCAAAAGTGTTTTGAGATCTGTGGAGCCAGATGTGGTAGATCAAGTGCTCTGGCTTAAATCTGCCACAGGAGGTACTGAAGAGACACATGAGAGAATAACTGGCAGCTCAAAGACCCCAACGTGGTGGGAAGAGAAGCCCAGCTAGAGCAGAGGTGGGAGCCATCTTGGGTTAGTTGCGAGAGTTATTAAAAAAGGGAGGACATGGGGCGCCTGGGTGGCTCAGTTGGTTAAGCGACTGCCTTCGGCTCAGGTCATGATCCTGGAGTCCCGGGATCGAGTCCCGCATCGGGCTCC